TAAAAAATTCGTTATAAGCTTATAACGAAGTTGATATCCAGATCCTAGAATTCGTTATATCAAGAGTTCACTGTATTTCCATATCTTCTTTATCGTTGTGAAGTGGAAATTCGTAATTAGGATCATCAACTTGTTTAGGATCAAATTCAATATAGTGCATATACTCAAGTCTGTGCAAACAGAAATCTATGTTCTTTTGGTTTTGTTCTTATTTGATGATAGAGTTTTTTAAAAAAATGATTTTATCGTTAATGAGAGTAAGCCTATTTTCAATGTTATCCAATTTTTCTTGAATAAATTTAAGAGTGTTAACGGTATTTGGAGGAACTCTTTTTGATTTTTATTATTATTTTGCTTATTATCGGTAGACTGGTTATGATTGGTTGTATGATTTTTTCCATTTTGTAATACGTGAGAGAAGGATTTGTTGGGATCTTGGTTATAGAAATGAGAAGGTCGTGAGATCTATATTATTATGGCTTGAAACAATCATAAAGTGGCTTATAGGGATTAACCAGTTTTCGATTTGTATAATCATTGGATTTGTGGTTAGGTACGCCACAAATTCTGCAATATTTCTTGAAAGGTTTCATCTAACAAAGGACTTTTCTTTGAATTTTTGTGATTGGTTAGCAGCAGATACGAGATCATCATTGTTAGCGAAATTAACAAATGCATAAGGTCAGAGGCGGTATTATTAGTCACGTGGAATGAAACATGATTTAGCTTTGATGTGTAGGAGAAAGTCAATTAGTTATCTTTGGTTAGTGTTGAAGGGTAAACTGGTTAGTTTGAGTTCGTATTGTTGTTTAAGAGCAGTTTATTCAGGGTCGAGATCCGTCGGTTCAACCTTTAAGAAATTCTCTAAAAAGGATACAGATCACACGTGATCGTAGAATTGTTTAATAGAATCAGGATTCTCGAAAATGATGAAAGCGATTTGCTAGAGTCCCTGATGATCATTGAGAAACAAGAGATTTTTCTGTATTTGGCAAAGTAATTTGTATCACATCAGATTTGATAAAAAGAGTATGTCAAAAACTTTGATTGTCTTGCCTTTTTCGGCATCTTGTTTTTGTTGTTTCACTACAGGATTTACAATGGTAAAAACAGGATTATGTTATGTTTCCTGAGTTTTTGTAAGAGCATGTTTTAAGGAGTCTATCGATTCAAAATAGACAAAGAATTTTCTGAGTTTGGAAATGTAGGTTGAGTCTTGAAAGCCGTTGAAATGGATGAATAAGGAGTTGATAAACGTGCATTTTTTAGCCACAGATTTTCCCTTGATATCAGATGTGTTATTGATCACATAAAACGCGTAGGAGCAGTGATAATGTTAAAAGTGGTTTCGTTAGTTTTTTGATCACGTGATTTGACTGTTTCTTCAATTCGTCAGATCAAGACTGTTTCTGTTTTTCTTTATCAGTTGGAGGTAAGACGTAATCAAAGCCCGTATCTTCAAACATATTGTTTTTATTAAAGTTAGCGTGCATAGAATCGTTTGTAATAAGTTTTGGTGATGATATAGAAGAAGAGTTAATAATAGGGTTAAAGGATGAATCAACATCCATTTCAGTTGGTGAGAGAGTTTCTGAAGGGTTTTCTAGAGTTGTGAAAGTCATAATAGGAAGAGTTTTGTTACCAAGTATTATGTTTTCGATAATGTTGTGAATATTTGTGTTGATATTATGATCATTTGATGGAAGAGAAGTTTTTTGTTTTTTTGAAATAGAAATATCTTCATTATTTTCTGAAGTTTGAGAAATAGAACCAGAGGTTTCACTTTCATTAGTAGAGTTAATTCGTTTATTTATATTGTTAGTTCGTTGGTTTTGTTTTTGTTTAAGAGTCAAGCGAGTAACGAGCATTATTTTTTTTTATGTAGATCTTATTCGTTTGTTTTTTGGTAGTTTGGGAAAGAGTTTTTTTAATAATTGATTTATTAAATAATGTTGCTTTAAAATTAATATTTTTTTAAGATATTTATTATTGAAATCTAATTAGATATAATATCCTTTACTATCGTTTAAGTTTAAGAATTGCATTTTTGAATTTCTATCCTAATTATAGATTATATATTCTCAATTGGATTAAGATCAGGAATTTGAGCAGACCATAAAAATACATTTATCTTTAAGAAAGCAAAACTTTTGTATAATCTTTAAAGTATGAATTGATACATTAACTTTCTAAAATATAATTTTTTTTGTTTTTTGAAAAAATTCTTTGAGTGTTAGAACCGCATAAGTGATAAGAATATCTTTGTAAATTTCTTAGTAGTATAATGGATTCTACTTTAAAAAGGAAAGATATATTCAAAACATCCTCTGAGAAAAATGTTTTATTGCTGATGATTACAATCTTTATGAAATTTCTCTTTTGGTTCTTGCTACACTTGTTCTCATCCAGATTTTTGAAATTGAAAAAAAGTGGCTAGACTATTTTTTTTCCAGTCTTCGATAGTCCCAATCTTTTCTTTTCATTACTTATGCAAGTCTTTTAATCTTATTAATTGCTGAAATTAAGGTTTCTTTCACGAAATACAAGAATACGCATTTGTCACATGACAAATTGTTCTTTTGAAGATTCTCTTCAGCTTATCTCTTAATACTTTTCACCTTGTTCTACAGTTCTCTCATTTCCATTTTCTTCAGCCTTTCCAAATCTCTCCTCAGCCTTTTCAGTAATCTTCTATTTTATAAGATGTCAAATTAAATTATTTGATTTATATCGTAATTAAGTCGGTTACACAAAAGTCGGTCCGGAAGGATTATGCATTATATTATATAGAAAATTTCACGTGATTAATTATTAATAGTTGCGTAATTGTTTTTTCTTTCTTTTCCCAGAAAAAAAATTTAAAAAAAAAAATCCTTTTCATGTAATCTTCGATTATGCTATTAAACGAATTTACATTTGAAGCTCTAAAAACGGCCAAATATTGAAGAATATAGTCTACCGAAAAATGAATTTGTAAGTTGAATTATATTGAAATATTTAGCTTGTAAAGTTGCTAATTCTTATCTTCATTATCGTCCTGCGACTTGGCTTTATCTCAGAGGTTGTTATAGTTGCCTGACAAAACTCCTGGGTTTAGACAGACCGTCGAATGTCGAAAGTGTCAAAACAATAATAAAATCATATAAACTAACATGTCGAAACTTGTCGAAACCCGTCGAAACCTGACAAGCTATATCAAACAGTCGAAACTATATTATGGACTTATTGAAAACCTGTCGAAACTAGAGGTTTAGACGTTTCGACAAATCCAAAATAGGTTTCGTCAGGCAACTATAGAGGTTGTGAAATACCGGTAACAGAACTGCCAAACCAACTTTCTCCAGTTGTTTCAGTTCCGTTGGAAGACTTGAAACCATATTCTTTTGAGATTAATGAAGGAGGTTCTCATAATACTTCTGCCAGAAAGGCAAAGTATAACAATATTAGGGATGCGGTTGTTCATTCAGATAATGTAATCGAGATCGCTGATGATGAAAATAAAACAAATGAACCTGAGGTCATAGATATAGATAATTATATACCAAAAAATAATAAACGAACTTATACGAAAGAAGTTGAAGTCATTGAGTTGTCGAAAATGATGAAGAAGAACTTCCTTCCAAGATTATAAGAATTGATTTTTTATTTGTAAATAAAAGAAATAAAAGAAGCCATTCACAATTTATTTACCCCGATTTGAATGATCTGCATTTTAATTTATACATAAATGTATAAATTAATCGTGAAAAAAAAAAATAAAAAAAAAATTAATCCATCAATATTCTTTTTTAAGGTTCTCAAAAAAAAAAAAAAACTTTTATTATAAAATGAACTCATTATTTATTCGTCGTAATTTTCAAAAGCTACAAATAGCCTCACCTTATAACAATAGAAAATCAAGTATTATTTGTAAAAAATCCTACTCGAGCATTGTTGGTGATTATCTTTTAAAAACGGAATATTTTTTCAAAAAAAAAATTGGGAAATTAAATTATTTAAATTTCATTTAGAGGTTAAACCCAATGATAGGATACATGGATTTCGAGTTGAACAAGTATTTTAAATACTTTTATTGTCATATGAACAAAGTTTTTCTCATTGGAGCTTGAATCAATTTTTGGTTTTCAAAAACCCAGCCGTGTTGGTAACTTTTTTTCTACTACGATAAAAAAAGGAAAAAAATTAACAGACACGGCCGGGTTACGGGAATCTAAATTATCGTGCTCGGCCTTATAATTATAACATAATAAATTTTATTTATTCATTTTTAGACGAGACATATCCCCGAGCTTGAATTGACAGCAACTCAACTTGTACATGAAGTCACCGGAGCTTCACACTTGCATATTGCAAGAAATGATAATAATAATGTATTTGGTGTGGGGTTTTCAACACCTCCCACGAATAACTGTGGAACTCCTCATATACTGGTAAAGTTATTAAAAAAAAAAAAATTTAATTAAATATTGACAAATCGTAAAAAAAATGTAGGAACATACAACACTTTGTGGGAGTAAAAAATTTCCCGTGCGAGATCCATTTTTTAAAATGTTGAATCGAAGTTTGGCAAATTTTATGAATGCCATGACAGGTATAATACTTTGTATTGTATATTTTCATTTTAGAAATTCTTCCTTTAATAGAGATTATTTCACCTAATATAGCAAAAGATTATACGATCTATCCATTTTCAACTACACACAAACTTGATTTTGAAAATTTAAGAGATGTTTATATGGATGCGACATTTCACCCTTATCTGAGAGAATTGGATTTTAAACAGGAAGGATGGAGACTTGAACATCAGCAGCCTAATGATAAGTCAACCTCTTTACAATTTAAAGGAGTTGTGTATAATGAAATGAAGGGTCAAATGGTACAAAAAAATAGATATTTATATAAGCTATGAATTTGAACTTCATTATTAAACAATTCATATTATTTAGTCAGATGCTGGATATTTATTTTACACTCGGGTGCAAGAAAATATGTTTCCCGGTACCACTTATGGAGCTGATAGCGGAGGAGATCCAAAATATATAACAGATTTAACATATCAAGAGCTTTTACAATTCCATAAAACTCATTATCATCCGAGCAATGCAAAATTTTATACTTATGGTAAGGTACTTATGATGAACTTTTTTTTATTAAATTTATTAATTTCTTTGTTGAATAATTTATATAGGAGACTTTCCATTAAGAGATCATTTGATAGCAATTGATGATAAAATTAGAGAGTTTGAGAAATTGAATCCTGACGAAGGTGTGAAATTCGTTAACCCATTTGAATCTCCAAGAAGAGTTACTTTATATGGACCTTTTGATCCAAGTAAGCGTTAAAATCATGTATCAAAATAATCAACAATAACTGAGAAATAATGATTATTAAAAATTATTATAGTAAATAATCCGGAGAAGCAGACCAAAATGTCTGTATCATTCTTAACCAATGATATAACAGTATGTTATTATTCATTTTTGAATTAAAAATTTTTTAATTTGGTCAAAATTTAAAATTTTCTTTTTTTGTTTATTAGGATACCTTTGAGACTTTTGCTTTAAAGATATTTGGTTATTTATTATTAGATGGTCACGCATCTCCAATGTATAAAGCACTAATAGATACAAATATCGGATCTGATTTTTCCGAAAACACTGGTTATGATCCTTCAACTAGGTAAGTTGCAGTTACATTTGAAGAAAACGTTCTAATATATTAGCATTTACGCAAGCTCGTCCGATTACAGAATAAGCTGTATGAGTATTGGATTACAAGGAATGAAAGAGAATGACGTTCCGTTGGTAATTAGTTTATTAATAATAAATAAATAATATATATACAACATTTGTTAAGTTACAAGATGTCTTTAATTAATAGGCTGAAGAGGTAATAAGAAAAGTTTTGGAAGATATTCATCGAGATGGGTTTGATCCAAAACGTATTGAAGCTGCAATACATCGAACAGAATTGAGTATTAAACATGTAAGTTTCGTGTCATGTAGATTATTTATGTTATAAACAAAATTTATAATTATTTCTTGAACATAAATAGAAAGTTTCATCCTTTGGTCTAGGACTGATGCATTTAATAAGTTCAGGGTGGTTTAATGGTTGTAATCCTGCCGAGATTTTGGAAATTAATAAGGTAAGATATTCTAAAAAATGCACCTTTTAAAGTGCTTTTATTTTTTTTTAAAAGAAAAAATTTAATATATTTTATATATATTAGAATATTGAATTGTTGAAGGAAAAGCTAGGGACGGGACCATTCTTTCAAAATCTTGTATCGAAATATTTCCTAAATAATCCACATACTCTTACATCGATAATGTTGCCCGATCAATCATATACAGAAAATTTATCACGAGAAGAGCAATCACGGTTATCGGCTAAAACTTCAACCCTTTCACTAGAAGAAAAAGAAAAAATATATGAACAATCAATACAATTATTAAAAAAACAAGATGAAAAAGAAGATTTATCTATACTGCCAAGTTTGAAAATACAAGATATTGATAAACAAATGAAAACATTTAAATTAAGGTTTAATGATATTAATAAGTGTCCAGTACAATGGAGAAATACAAGTACAAACGGAATAACTTATTTTAAAGCCATTAGTAAAATTGAAGGGTTAAAAGAAGATTTAAGAATCTATTTACCTTTATTTGCTCAAGCTATAACTTCTTTAGGAACAAAGACTAGATCTATGGCAGAGATTGATGATGATATAAGATTATACACTGGTGGTATAAGTACTTCAACTTTTCTATCAACAAATCATTCCGGTAAGTATAAATTATTTAAGCATTGACAACTTAATGTTTGAATTGCTAACATGTTGGTATATATTTATATATTTTTAGATTTAAACATATATGAAGATGGTTTGGCTATTACGGCGCATAGTCTCGATAGAAATACAGACCATATGTATGATATAATGAAACAGCTTATATGTGAAACCAATTTTGATAATGTTGATAAGTTGAGAACCATTATTTTTGCTGTAAGTATTTGAATGTTATTTGATTCTTTTGATTTGACCTATTTTTATATTGATTTTTTTTTTTTGATTCATGTGACAGAATGCAGCCAATATGATGAATTCGGTTGTTGAGCATGGTCATCAGTATGCTAGTACTTTCGCTGCATCTAGATTAACCCCTACAGTGGTAACAAATTATTTCAAGATTATAAAATTTGTTTGATGATTCAATGTAAAATTTATTTTATTTCATAATAGAGTAAAGCGGAAACTTATGGCGGCATGACGCAAGTGCATTTCATGAATAAATTGTCAGGTACTGAAGATTTCGGTACTATAATTCAGAAATTGAAGGTATATTTCATTAAAAAAAAAAAGGAAAATTTTTATTTGTTGTAGATTTATTAATATCATCTTGTGATCCTTTTAGGAAATAGCTGAAAATGTTTTTAGTAAACAATCCTTAAGAGTAGCAATTACTTGTGGTTCAGAAACTATAAATCATAATGAAAATGTATTAAATAAATTTTTAAATGAGTTACCCCCCCAAAAATTATCACAAGTTGCTAAGCAAGTAAGATTAATCTGTTGAACTCAAAAAATGGTCTTTTGAATATATCTTTAACCCTTTTTAATTCATCAGAGTGCTTTCCGGTCAACACATGAAAAAGCATTCTTCCCTATGCCATTTGCAGTAAATTTTTGTGCTAAAGCTTTTAAGGGTGTACCTTATACACATCCTGATGGAGCCAAATTACAAGTAATTATTTCAATAGGTTATCTTCAATAAGTGCTTAATAACGAATATATATATTAATCTTTGCTTTAGATCCTTTCGTCATTAATGGGTACACATTATCTTCATCGAGAAATTCGTGAAAAAAATGGTGCTTACGGAGGAGGGGCAAAATATAATGCGACTACTGGTATATTTTCGTTTTTCTCTTACAGAGATCCCAAAACCTTGGAAACCTTAAAAACTTATAAAGATAGTATTAAATGGGTTGAGGAAAGAAAGTTTACTCAACAAGTTTGTATTGTTTTATAAATGAATTTGGCTTTTTTATTATAACGGACTATATAAGCGTTTATTTTTTTTTTTCCTGCAGGAAATTGATGAAGCAAAGTTATCTATTTTTCAACACATTGATGCACCTACCAGCGTTTTCGAAGAAGGAATGATTTATTTCACAGAAAAGATCACAGATGAACAAAGACAAAAGTGAATTTCAAAATATTACCTTTTAACTTTTTTAAAATAAGGACAAACGTATTTATATATTAACACCAAAAAATATAATTTATTTTATTTAGGCGACGTGAGCAATTACTTGCCGTTACAGATGATGATATAAAAGAAGTTGCAAAGATTTATTTAGAAGATCAAGAAAATGCTATTGCTATTATTGGCGAAGGTAAACCCGAAATATTAAACGATAAAGAATGGAAAATTTACCAGTGAAAAAGAAAATTCAAAAACGCCATATAAAAAAAATTTCTTTCTCTCGATTAATATAATTAATTATAAATAAAATTTGATCCTTGCGGAGAAGTCGAGAAGGGATGAGTAATGAAAACGTACCAGTTTTGTTTACGTTACTTTAAGTCGAATATTGATCAACATTGCAAAACTTTGTCGGAAAAATTTGTTCAAACGTTTTTAAATAATCTTGAAATTTTTCATAAATAATTTAAGAATGAAGTGAAAGATGGGATATACTTGCTTTCTCATAAACATTTATCTAGCTCATACAATTTATATGATTATTCGTTATTATTATTACTTGCATGCTTTTGTTTCAATTTCAATTTTATTTCGACGTATCATTGATTGCCAATTTTTGAAGATTGAAACAAGGGAATATTTATTTTTCAGAGGTCTCCGGCTATAAATTCCTGTGTTTCATTTTAATAATAATGCCTTGTTTCATGATTTTTAGTCATCAAATTGTTATATCTTTATTGATGATGTTTTTTTTTTTTTTTTTTTTTTTACCTTTTATATATATATTATCAAGTTATAAAAATTAATTAATTGTAGTATTTTGTAATTAAATTAAATTAAAGGGTAAGTTAAACGAGGTCATTAAGCCTTAAATCATCAAGTTTTCAAACCAATTCTCGTTAATGAATTCATTAACAAAATTCCACATTATTTTCAATTCTTCAAAACCTAATTGACCATCCAATTTCAATTCAAACAACAAAGGTGTCCAATAGTTTACCCACAAATCATTCCAATACATGGCCAAAAAGATGCCTAAAAACATACCCATTAATACTTGAGCGGTTGTATGATGACCCAATTCAACCCTAGACCACAAAACCAATAAAGCTATTATATAAACCATTAAGGATGAAAGTAATTTGTTTAAAGGAAGTAAACTCGAATCAAATAATCGTAGGGATACGAAAGTTGCAAAGTAAATGAATATGGCGGAATGTGAAGATGGCATTCCATAAGACTTTCTTAGTTTTGTGGTCATGAACGGTTGCGAGCTAATTGTCATGTGATATGGACGAGGTTGCCTTATTATTATTTTCAACGTGCTGGCTAAAAAATTAAGAGAAATTAATCCGAATTTCATTTTGTTTATCGATTAAAAGTTTGATTAAAATTATTGATCAATCACCAGTTATTTGTGTAAATGCTCCGCCCGCGATGCTAAACACAACGTGGAAAGTTCTCATGTAACTTAATAAACAAAATGTTAATAAAGACATCCATATCGAAGTCTAAAAAAAGAAATGGGTTAGTTTTATTAAGCAGGACATCTTAAATTCAAAGACTTTTTACACAATTTAAAATTTGTTTAATTGTTTTTATATTATTTACATTTTCCAAGAAAAATAAAAGAGACATAATGAAAAAATCTTAATTTGGTATGATAATGGATTTAAAAATTTTTTTTTATATATTTGGTGCATTTATTGTGATACAAAATGTATTCTTCATTTTGAAACGTTTATGTTAATCAAAACTATATGTGAAGTTTCAATTTATGACAAAGTCGATCGTTTAGTTGATATCGGTATTATGATTTGTTTGATTTATTTCCTTTTATCGATTGCTATTAAATTAAATGCTCAGCTTTTTTCATCGATTCTGATAAAAGACATCGACTTAAATATGGAGAATAAATATCTCGAGAGATCATATGAAACATCAATTATACGGTTTGATTACCCCGCACACGTGATTCTGCAAATAATGCGGTAACACGACGCTTGACTCGTTTTATCCACAACAAAAAAAAAACGCCTTCTACCGAATTCGGGGTAAGAATAAAGTTTTTTGTGTTTATTCCAGAATTCGAAGTATATTTCCCTAAATTAAAAGGATCAAAAAAAAAAAAAAAATTCTCGATTTGTCAGAATTTGTCACCAACAAGAAATTAAAAAAACGAGTTTTTTAAAGACGGGGAGATCTCGGAATTTTTCTTTGTGAATATTTCACAATTTTAATCTCAAAATTTCCATAAATGTAAATCAAATTATCAAATTAGCAATTCATTTAATCAAATTCGCAAGGTTTGAAACGCAAATGTGAAACTTATCCTCTGCGAGATTTTATAAACAATTACTTTAGAAATTATTTATTAGTAATTCATTCATTGAATAATTTTTTTATAATTATTATATTATTAAAGTTTTTAGGATGCAGGACACAGTTTTACTTATTAATATGTCAATCAAAAGGAACTTACCCGCGTATCACTTAACGTATAAATGTATAAGCAATTATATCCGGAAGGTCTTTGTTCCTTCTAATTATGATAAAACTTACTAAACAGGATGAGGATTAATCCAAAATTTACAATTATTAACAACCCGTAAGTAAGGTTCTCTATAGAGATTAACTAATTAATTGACATTACGTAGTGATACATTGACTCCGCTACACTGCATTGATTGACATTATAGGGTTGTATTAAGTTTTAAACATTATCTTTTTTCAAAAAAAAAAAAAAAAAAAAAAAGGTCCGATAATTTGTTCCGCGTCTCTTATTCTCGAAATTTTATAAAAACCCTGTGCAGAAATGCTTCTCTCACGCATAAATCATCTCCTACTTGTTTATCATAAACATAAATATACATTTTTTTTTTTTCCTCTTTTTTCTCTCCTCTTTTTTCTCTCTTTTTCTGTTAATTAATCGTAACCACTTTTGAGATAAACAACTGGTTTTGTTTATCGACTTTTTTTTCATATAAAATATACATCAATTTTAGTATTTTCTTCCAACTCTCAAACTCCGTTATCGATAGAATTGATAGAATTAGAATTTTTATTCCCCTTTTTTTCAAACCGTTTTGTGCTTAAAATCTAAACCTTTTAAGCTAATTATAAATTACTAAATTAGAAATCGTTACGATTTTCCTATTAAAAACATAAAAATATAATAATGTCAGGAATAACAATATCCACAAATTCTCTTGTTAACAATACACTCATGGTTCCAAACAAAAAGTCTCATAATAAAACGGCAAAGAGTAGGAATAATAGCCTAACTTTATCAAATACCATAAAAAATATTAATTTGCCCACTCCTTCGCCTACTCCAACATCTCCATGTTTTGTTCATTCTACATTTGATCCTACGCTTTCCTCTCCTCTTCAAGAAATTATGGATAGTTGTGAAAATCAACCAGCCGATTATTCAAAGTTGGCCGAAACCGCCGTTGGCGTACGCGAGATCTCTAAAAAACTTGGTTTGTAACCCCTATGACCTTGCGCAGCGCTGACCGCTTTCGGAATGCACTTTCATTTTTTGAAATTATTAAATACTCTTAATCAACTACATAGGTCAGGCACGAATAAAATGTGAAGTGAAGACTATAATGATTGTCACAAAGCCAGGGGACTTACGATTAATCAACTTGACGCGTGAATTGGCTTTGTACTTGATAACAACCCCTCGCTTCGGAAAAGGTCATGGTGTGACAGTGTATGTGGACAAGAATTTAAAAAATTCCGAAAGGTTCGATTTCTCAGGGATGTTAAAATCCTCTCCGCTGGTTAAGGATTATTTGAAATTTTGGACCCATAAATTGTGTGCCGATAGAGCCGAAATCTTTAATTTCGTTCTTACGGTAGTTATCAAACATTTCTTGACAATGATTTTCAATTTAAAGCCAATGAATTTAAATTAACATTATGTCTCATTTAGCTCGGAGGAGATGGGACCGTTTTATATACATCATGGTTATTTCAAAAGACTGTCCCACCAGTTTTACCATTCCATTTGGGTTCTTTGGGTTTCCTGACAAACTTTAATTTTAAAGATCACAAAACTCATCTAACCAACGTATTGGAAAAAGGGTTTGGTGTGAATATGCGAATGCGATTCTCATGTACGGTATATCGTCGTGTACGTGATTCCGAATGTGTAAGTAAAGCAAGACGATGTGGCGAAACTGGAGAGATCATAATTCAAAATCCAAAAGATGGTGAAGGGTTGATTTCAATACGGGAGGATGATAAACATAAAAGTGATCACGACAAATATTTAACCTGTGTTACCACCCAACCTGCCGAATCATTCGAAGTGCTAAACGATTTGGTTGTTGATCGTGGTGCTGGTCCATACATGAGCTTGTTAGAATTATTTGGTAAAAAAAAAAAAACCTCCACTTATTATATATATCCTTCCTTTGACATTTTTTCCACCACCATTATTAATTTCGTCTTTCTTTCATTTTACGTAGGTGACGAACAACATTTAACAACAGTGCAAGCAGATGGACTTGTAGTTTCAACACCTACCGGTTCAACCGCGTATTCAGTATCAGCCGGTGGATCATTGGTACATCCCGAAATACCAGCATTGCTTTTAACGCCAATTTGCCCTCACACTTTATCATTCCGTCCAATGTTGCTACCAGATTCTATGGAACTAAGAATTTGTGTTCCATATAATAGCCGTAGTACTGCTTGGGCAAGTTTTGACGGAAGAAACCGAATCGAACTAAGACGTGAGCGAAATTTATTATTATTATTATTATTATTATTTTAGTATTTTATTTGGTGATGTACGAAATTGACTCTAAAAAAAAAAACTTACAGAAGGAGACCATATTAAAGTCACGCCATCAAAATTCCCATTCCCGACAGTTTGTCTGGAGTCACAATCGCGAGATTGGTTTAATTCAATCTCCAGATGTTTAAGGTGGAACGAGCGAGAGAGACAGAAAACGTTTGTTGTTGTAGAAGAGGATGTTAGTGATGAAGATGTAGACGACGGATGTTCTGAATCTACAGAAAATGACTCCGAGACAACCAACGTGGTTGAAGCTGATCTCGAAAGTAGTCGCATTCAACACAGAGAACCCTCATTGATAATAGAAAAGCAAATTCATCAACATAATAATATCCAACAGCAGAATAATAATAGCAATAAACAACATAGGAGAGGGAATAGTGTACACGCCTTTGCTTGTGTTGGAAAGGATAATAGCGATACCAGTAGTAATACTAGTAGTGGAGGTGAAGGTGGGGGTCAAGAAGAATGGAAAGTTGTTCGAAGAGGAAAAAAGAAAAAGAAAGCTTAAATAAGGGTTTGCGACGCATTTGATTATGAGATATTCATATATATAATTTCATAGACATCAACATAACCTTAGTTTACATAATATATATTTTTCCTTTGTGTAGATATATACATTATAAAATTTAACTTTTCCTTATATATATATAAATATAAAATAATTGTATTGGGGAAAACTTTTTGTAGATAGTAAAAATAAAAAAAATAAAAATAACAAGAGGAATTTATTTATTTATATTATTTACTTATTCGTAATTAGATTTAAAAAGATATATACAAATTTTCTTATTAAAAATAGATTTTTATTAACTTTTTTTTTTTTTTAATTGGGCGTTGTTTTTAATTTGATTCATTTGTGACATGAAAAAAGAAAAAAATAATTTCCGAAAAACGTCCACGAGACGCACTAGTCTGGAACATAGAACATGTACTTTCATGTTTCAAATGCGTTACACTCAAAAGAGATTGGTTGAAAATAAAAACAACCCACTTAACCACCTTGTTTTGTCATTCATCAAAACAAGGATTGGTAGGGTAAATGATCTAGAAAATCATGTGAGATCATGACCTAAAAAAAAAGATATATGGGAGGGCTCTGAGCATTTTTTATTAAAATTTTAATTTTTATTGCATTTTAATCCAACATTATCAAAAACTAAAATGCAAAGAAAATTAAAATTTTAATAAAAAATGCTCAGAGCCCCATTTTCCTAGCAAACTTCCCATATAATAATAATTTTTTTTTTTTTGTGAGGAAAAGTCTATATACAACTTGTTATAGTTTCAAAAGAAAGGGATTTTATACCTTGAAATGTAAATTTCATAGTGTGACAACGAGATGGTTTTGAAACACGGTGCGATCCATGTAACCGCTGATTACCGTCATTTAAAAGAACCTTCCGACTAGCTGTCGTGTAAGAGCTTAATGGCTCGGGCAGCCGAAGTTAAAGGGTTATTACTGTTTGAAGGTGGGATGATAATTTCTTTTGAACCGAAATAGAAATGCCTAAAAAGGAATCGGCCGCATATTCCCATTCTTCAACAAATTTAGTCATTAAATGAATTTTTTTTTTTTTTTTTTATAAATCCGAGTATAGGAGGTTCTTTAAAAAATTACTGCTTTAATGATTCTCTTTCGTCAAAATATAATTTATAATTTCATAAACATTTCACAAATAAATTGATTACACGATAAATTCCTTTACGCCCAACAAGAAAAAAATAAATAATTTATGTTGGTCGCACTCTTCAATTTCATAAGCACATTAATAGTGTCCCCCTCATTCGTGTCAGCGTTTTGTCCTTCCTTTCATGACAACTTTAGTTATGTATAACCAGATATTATTTTTTATTATTATTATTTATTATTATTATTATTATTATTATTATTATTTTTTTGCGCTACATCATTTAAAGATGACAATTGGAGTTTCTCTTCTAAAAATAAGGGGGGGAGGGGAGGGGGAGGTGTACCTTAGCGAGGGACATGGAATTCTAAACGGCAAATTTGAAAGTCAAGGGAAAATGAAATAATATCGGAATTACGCGTTTTAATAAATCTATTATTAATCGTAAATAAAAATATTTAATCGTAAATAAATCAAAAATGGTAATCGTACAAAAATATTATACAATATTACCCACGCAAATATCTATCGACTTACAAATTATATTTTTTTTTTACTAATTAATGTACCAACCCCTTTTAAAAAATAACATTATTCATTATTAAATTCTTGATCACATGCCATTCGAATATTTTTGATGAATAATTTCCGTGTATTGATCCTTAAAATCATTAACATATCACACGTAATAATGAATAATGACCTCTCATTTGATTCAAAACGTATTAAACTTATCTGACATGATAGAATTTAAAAACAAATTTTATTTTAAGAGAGAGAGAAAAAAAATCACCTGTCAGAATTTATAAAAATCTTTATTATTTGTTTATTAGAATCAGGACGTGCTTATAATGGGATGGGATTTTTTACGAGCAAATGATTGATAATCACAAAAATACAATGAAGGAAGTACAGATTTCGAAGTTTCCAATCATAAATAGTTTGAATCTTGTCCAAGGAAAACAAACCAGAATAAAAAAAAATAAAAATAAATAACCAATTCTTTGAACTGGTTGAAAGATCTCTTTTTTTTTTTTTTTTTATTAATAACCTAGTTCAATATTCATTATGTGAAATCAAATGTATGGTGTTAAGGTAAAAATGACTCGGCATTTCCGTACTTTTAGTTGTTTAGTTGAGTTTTTTTTTTGTGACCAGCGCCATAATTTTTATTCCCGAACATGCGTCGTCCCATATAAATGCTCAAATGGATTTCTCGAGTTTTAATTCCTGCACCTCGGATAAATTCAAAAGATTTCATTGGTAAATTCGTTAGTGTACCAGTAAAAAAGTAGTAGTAATTCACCTCACCTAATTTATTATTAATAACTTTCATCAAAGGTAAGGCAATTGTAATTTATTAAGCAAAACCTTTTAGTTTTATTAAATCACCGGGTTCTGTGTTACGACCTTTTTTGATTCGTATAAAAATATTAACAAGTAAAAAAAGGAATATTCATTGTAAAATCAAGTTTTAAAAAAAAGATAACAAACTTGATGTACTATTTTGAACTGGTGATACCAAATTCAAAAAAAAAAATAAATAAATAAATATCAGTACTCTATTTTATCTGATTACGATATATAAACTATTAGTTTTTAAGAAAAAAACTATTTTCTTGTATAAATTCGGTATGAAAATATTTCAAATCTTCTAATTGGTATGATTTCGAATTTACTTTGTAATACAACAATAAGAACACCACTTTTTGAAATCTCATCATAACAACTCTAAATAATGACATCTATAGATTTTTTTTTTAAAATTTCATGCGGTAATTATTATTTAATACTTTTTGTTTTTTTAAATGTTTCTCATTATCATTTTACATTATCTTTTTTTTTTAAAAAAAGATCAAAGATAACGAATGGTTTTTCGTATTTTTGAAAAATAAAGGTAACGCAAAGAAAGCGTATCATAAATCTTTTGTATAACCATTTCAACCTAATTCATTCAATTTATTAGTTCCTCAATGTATTACCGAGTTCTCTATAATTATGTAATTTCAAAATGAATCGGCGTTGTTTGTACAAATGAAGAAAATAAAAAGCAAGTTAATTTAAAATTTAAATTTATGGGCGAAAAAGATTTGCGATCTAAAAAAGAAAATGCGATAAATGTTTAACGAGTTTCCTGCGGTGTTACGAGCTTATCATTTTATGTGAATAAATGATTGTCCAAGTTGAAAAAATATTTCCTTTTATAGGAAATATTTCACAAAATTTCCATGTTTCATATCACAAGGCTTAGTCCCTTAAAATTAAAAAAAAAATAATGGTTAAGTAACACATCATGTCAGCAATTATATACCGTATACAGTATATCATATCCGGATCATTAATAATAATCATCTAATATTTGTTAGTAACTAAATCTGAATTTAGAATTCAAGATACGGAAATTTCTGGAACTCTATCTGAAATTTAAAATTCAGACATCGGTATTTACCTGAAATTATCGGATCAGATAACCCGCGTCTTTGGAATTCCAATTAGATCCGAGAATTTCATACAATGATTTACAAACGTTTTGTATCGAAAAATCGCTCAATTATTTGGCACCTTACAGATTTTTAAAGGATATGTATGTATATATTGTATATCTCAAAGAAAGGTTCGTCGAGATTTGGTTCTTTTAATTCGTGGTTTTGCTTAAATATTTTTAACATAATGCAAAATCAAAAAAAAAAAATAAAGGATTCTTTTTTATATATTTATAAATTTTTTTTGGAAATTCGTTTATCAAGACTTTATTCGTGATTTTACGTAAAGTAAAAAAAAAAAGAGAATTATCGAAAAAAGAACAAAAGCGAAATTTCAAAAATAAAATAAAGGGTCATATACGAATTATGGTATGATTTTTTTATCTTTTTTTTTTAAAAAAAAAAGAAGTGTGTCGAAGTTGTTTATTTGAAAATTTTTACGTTTTTAAAATGATTTCTATTTTTTAATGATAAATGCTAAAGAGAATTAAAAAAAATCTAAAAATGAATTCATAAAATTATTATCTATTTATATTTTCTAAGGCTTAATTTTATTATGCTTAATGGTTTTTTTTTTCACTGGCAAAAAAAAAAAAATTTCTTAATTAAAAAATTAATAGTATTATATCGAGGCAAATATGAAAAACTAGGCTGCGATTTTTCTTCTTAAGTTAATCTTATCCAAGATTGTTGTTAATAAAATAATCTTACGTGATATACGAAAAACGAGATATGTCTAATTGAAAATGTACATGTTTTTTTTTTGTTTGTGTTTTGTTTGTGTTTGTGATTCTATGTAATTTCTAATGAGTTTTTTTTACGATATGAAAATGATAATGAAAATGTTCTAAATGAAAAAACGATTAAATGTTTGTAAACTTTCGGATAGTTCAACAATAATACGATTTTGTTTTTTTTTGGTTGTGGTGTTGCGTTGATGAATGTTATTTACATTATAAAAAAAAAGGATCGAAGTCTAATATTCCCACGCATGAATATTATTATTATCGCTCATGGTTGATGCTAACGAAAGATCGTTGTAAAATATTCCCGTCGAGGGAAGTGCTGTTTGTGTTTGTTGCGAAAAATTGAAATCTGTTGGTCCATACACGCTCGATGGTGTATTTATAGGGTATGACTCTACAAGTCCTACGGTTGCTGGAAAATAACTTTGATTTTTTATATCCGATGTGATTTCCCATGTCGAATCCCAGGATTCAACGTTACCATATACATAACCTGTAGTCATACCACTTTGAAAGTGATTAGGATTTATGTAGGAGACAGGTGAGTTTACAAAAGTGGGAGTAGGGCAAGTGGGGGTAGAACAAGAAGGTGTTGAACACGGTGTAGAACAAGTTGGTGTGGTTGGAGACACACAACTAGAAGAAGTTGAATTTGAATTAAGGCTCTTTCGTCTTTCTATTTCTGCCATTTCATTTGCGTTCAAGAATCTACCACCAGGTCCTCTTGGTCTACGTAGGGCATGCACGTGACGAGACTCGTGGATGTAGGGCTAAAGAATCATAACAATAAATTTTGAGTTAATTTATCATCGTAAAATAAAGGAAGAAAAAAATGCATATAAATAAAATATCAACACACCTTTCTTTCTTTGGAAAGGTTATGCTTTCTCTCAAATTTCTCACGGGCGATCCTTCGCTTGAGAATTCTTCTGTATTGCTTGGGATTGACAAAGATGGGTACATGCTCATCGTTGCCATTATTCTCCTCTTGCTTTACATGCTTATTATCAACTTCACCTTCCACATAGCTTGTGATCCTTTTACGTTTAATTGCCACTTTGAATGAATCATTTGAGGCAGAAGAAGCGTGTGGCGCAGAAGGCGATGTTGGCGGCGATGGAAATTGTTGTTGAGCTTTATAGTTCATGGGCTTGACATGTTCCGCAGTATCAACGTTAACAATGTTTTGTTGTTCGTACTGTTGCTCGTGTGGCATAAATTTAACATCCTTGTTTTCTGGGTCAACAGTACCGTATACTTGGTCACTAATGGATGATGACTTTTAAAAAAAGAAAAAAAAAAAGGCGGGAAATAGTTAGATTGGGATGCGTGGGAAAAAAATAGTAACACATGATGCATTGAAGATAATTACCATGGATGGAGAAGGATGTGTAGTGAAATAAGATGAGCCCATTGGTTTTAAATCTAACTCGTAAGCATCATGGAATGGTGTGTCAGGTACCGAAATTGGAGGAGATGCCTAAACAAGGAGGGGAGGAGGGATTAAGAATTTGCAAAAGAAATAAAAAAAAAAAATCAAAAAAAATCAAAATGATTTTATTGCTTACCATGGTGGGCATACTATTAGAACTTAGGTCGAGATAAACTTGGTCGTATTGTGGCATATAGCTCTAAAGAAGGAAAGAAGAAAGAGGACGAAAAATTATTAAGGACTTGTAAATAATGATGATCACAAACTATTAAAAAGAGTTCTTTTTTTTTTAAAAAAAAAGGAAAAGGAGTGTGAGACTTACCACGACAAGATTTGGATCAAATAATAAGGCTTCGTTAACCTGATTTCCTTGGTCAACGCTGAAATCTGGGATATGAGGCGCGTTTAGTGGCGCTTGAACGTATTGCATGTTATAACAATCCTGGTGACTTTCCATCTTTGACAGGTTTTACGAATAAAAAAAAAAAAATTTATATTTTTTTATGTATTTATTTTTTTTTGAAAATTCTATTTTACGAGAGAGCTTTAGAGAAAAGAAATCTATTTTTTTTTAAATTATTTCCGATTCAAAATGTCGTCTATATATAATTGATCGTGTTACACGAACCTTTTAATGATAAGAATTTAAATAATATTGAAACGTCATTACAATTACGGCAATAACCGAATCTTACAAAGGTTAGGCTCGACTATAATGTAATCCACATAAATAAAGGTTTAAAACCAATAAAATTATTGATGTCAAATTTTCATTTTCTAGAACGGGCTTACAAATTATATGATGCAGATCTCCATAATACTCTAAAACGTGCAATACAACTGAATGAACAACTTTATTCTTTTTCTCAGACAAATGCGGTGTTATTAGGTTCCGAAACAAGCCACATGGCTGGAAGGACACATAAGGAAGTATTAGGGAAAAATATCATATTATCATATCAATCAAATCATCATGAGCATACAACAAAAAAAAATGAGGGTAAAAAAAATAAAAAAAATTGATCCCACTTTTTTCATGCACAGACAATTATGCGCTGTTATCGAAGATCTCTGACAATAAATGATTTGGCATTTATTAAAAGAGGTTCATGGTTCGCACTTTTGTTATCACGTTAATGCCAATACCTAAGTTGGAAAGTTGAAGCAACATTTGTTTCGTTTATCTGATAAACATTGGAGTATTTTGAGATATAGGCGTACAGGGACAAGCTCATTTATTATTGGTCGTTGTAAAGTAGTAATCGATTGTTATTGTTGGTGTTTTCACTGCAAGCTTTATTATTTCCCCGCCATGTGTGACAGAAAAAATTCAAATCAATCCATTTAAAATACCAAAAAAAAAAAAAAATGTAAGTCCGATATGTAATAGTGTTTACATATACCATTTGGGTATATGTATATAATTTGTTTATTTGCGTGAAAATCTTGCCTGAGAATTTTAATCCCTCGCGTGATAAATAAAAATAAAAAAATTAAAAAAATTTTTTTTTTTAATCTATAATTTTATTTTTATTTTATTTATTTTTTTTTTTTTGTGATGAAACATCCTTGATTTACGTCAAATGTGAGGATTTTAATAGTTTTAAATTACTTTGATGTATCTTGATAGGTGTATATATGTCTAATGTAATATTTTTTTTTTTTAAACGTTTCATGTCAAATTTTTTATGTAAGAGTAATATTATTAAAAGAGAACGCACATATACGCAATGTATCAGCGGACCCGGATTAAAATTTTTTATTTTTTTATTTTTTTATTTTTTTTTATTTTTTATTTTTTTTTGATCCGCATCTATTCTATTATTAGCAATGACTCATTTGCTCATTTGATCAGCTCGTGACTTATTGAATACCGTAATGGGAATTGAAAGAACAAATTAAAATTTAACTCAAGGGAGTAAAAATAGTAAAAAAAATAATGTAGTGCATACCCGATAATAAGACCATTTTTTTAAAACAAAATATATATATATATACACATATACGCCACACTTATAACCTTAATGAACGCAGCTACAAAATCACTCTTTTTTTTGTTATATTGATGCACGCTCGTATATTATCAATTATTATCAATATATCTTATATATTCATTTCCGCATAACGAATGTAATGGTTAAAGAAACCGTCCTCCCACCCCTTTCTCGAGGCAAATATGATTTTTCCGAAAAGATAATAAAGGGCATATATATATCCATTTCCTTAAAAAGAGGAAAAAAATCTCCCGAGACCTTGCACATTGTTATGTGATTACGTTACTTTATTAAACCGTCTAGGTTTAAAAAATATTGATTATCTTAGCATTACTATGCATTAATAAATAAATACCCTTTACATTCCTCTTTCTACTATTCCGAAGGACGTAATGAATATCTAAAAATGGAGCGCTCCCGCTACATTCCAAGTCACTGGTTATTGGGTCACACCAATTATTCAGCCCAAATCTGAGAAAGTGATGATATTGATATTGTACATGCGAACGACTTTCTGAGGAACATCATCTTTTCAAACCAATCAAGTCGAAAAAAAAATTTGGTTTACTTTCAAAAAATAAATAAACAACAACAACAACAACAATAATAATAATATAATATATATAATATAATAAATAATAATAATAAATTTTTTTTATTATTGTTATGTCATTTTGATGGCTACATGTTTATGCATGACTTGATAAAATTTTAATTGAAAGTCTGGATCCGACATGCTTGGTCGTGATTGGTGTATATCATAAAATCAATCATGTTTACTTTAGATTTTTTTTTTTTAGATTAAAAAAAATAGAGAGAGAGAGAGGGGACGCGATACCAATAATAAACGATTCCAAAGTTTAATGGTGGGTAACACGTGGCCCAAGCGTCTCCGAATATACTCTGGATGAATAACAAACCATAATCACTGTTTAATACTATCACCCGCATATATGCCCCAAATTAATTGTCAATTGTCAAGCAAATGAACCAATGGCTTCAATGAATCGGTTCCTCCGTTCCTTTTGTTTTTAGTTTGCCGTTTGTAACATTTAATTCTATTCCGAAAAAGGAAAATTATACTGATTGGAATCATAAAAAAAAATATTTCAAACAAAGAAAAAAAAGGAAGTGCAAATTTAAATATTTAATATATTTAATTTAATTTTAAATATTTTTTTTTTTATTACATGATAAATTATTAATGCTAAGCGGGCAACAAACAATTTGTCATTTATGGTATATTGTTTACGGGATAACTTTTTTGGGTCATCAATTTTTTTTTATTTGTTATGATTATTTTTATTTTTATTTATTTATTTTTTCATTTTTTGTTAGAAAGGGATTATAAAAGAAAATTTCAAACGTAAAAAAAAAAATATCCCATTTTTTTTTCTGGGACATTGTTCCCAATTTAGTTTAGGTAAAAAAGGCAAAACCTGATTTCTCTATTACTTTTGTGAACAAATATTTTTTGTTTTAAAAAAAAACATTTGTTTGTAAAAATTAAGTAACATGGGTATTTTTTTAATATGAAACTTTAAATGACAAATCTTGTTAAAAACAGGTTTTTGATACTCCAATAATTCATTTGTGTATCAAATTTAGAAGTAGTGGGTGTCCTTTTTTAATATTCTCATGATGTATAAACAAAAGCCAAGTCGAAACAAACAAATTACTAATTTGGATTAGAATTTCAACATTATATGGTTTTTTTTCCCCATTCATGCATATCAAAATGTTTGAAGAATATGCATTAATTGACCAATTATAGATAATTTTATAATTTTTAACCAAAATTATGTAAAAATTGTAACCCAAGGAATTATGCAAAAACACCTTTCAATTTAAGGAAATCAAAATTAGGTTCCTTGATTTAATTAACCATTTTTGGCTAACGCATTTTTTTGCTAAAATTAAGGAAAAAAAAATCTCGTTTCATCATAAGGAATTTTTTTTTTTTTTTAAATAAAAATCTTTAATCTCTCGTAACACGATTTTAAATTTTTTCCCATGCTAACTCTTATCTGCCCACCTTAAAAAATATCATTATAATGTTTAATAATTCCCATATTAACTAACTAAATGGAAATCGCTATGATCGCATGTTTTAAAAAAATTAAAATGTCAGTATTTATCGTTATTAATCTGAAACAATTAATTTTTAATTATTAATATCATAAATATAAACTGTTAAGATAAGATAATCAATTCTTTTGATTTTAAACTTAATTTAGATAATCTATATCCTCGTTTTTGGATATATATTTTTTTTTTGAATTACCTAATATTAAATGAATTACTTTAAATGATTTCCTATTTCACGTGAAATTATTTACGAAAACGTCATTAATAGGCAAAGACTCTATTATCGTCTTGATGATTAATAAATATTTTTTTTTTTGAGGTTATGCAAGTGAAAATAAAAGATATTTGATAATGATAATTTAAGGTGATAATTGTACATTAGATTTTGATGTTGATGCAGTAAATGGATGATTTAATAGAGCTTTAGCCGTAGGCCTGTCATCATGATTCCTGTAACGACGAGAAAATTAAAGTTAATGAGAAACAAAATCTCACTCGTACGGTAAAAAAAGTACTACTTACGGTTCAAATGTCTTTTTCAGAAATTCTTCGGCTTCAATTGATATATTTTCAGGAATTTCTGGTGAAATAGATTCAACACCAATCTATCGTTATCAAATAGAGCAATATTTAATGAATCAATATATATTTACATAATTTTTCTATTTTATTTTATTTTATTTTATATTTATTACCTTAAATATTGCTTGCATTTGAGTAAATTGTGGATAGGGATGAGTTCCCGTAAACATTTCCACTATCAAACATCCCAAACTCCATATATCAGCTTTGCTCGTATAAGATGTTTGCTTAACAACTTCTGGTGCCATCCAAAATACGGATCCTTGTAATGAAGGCCTACTTACTGATGTTGTCGCCATAATTTCTGTCAATAAAAAAGTTACCTTGTTAATTAAGTGACTGCAAAGAATACACCAAAATTATATTATATAAATAGAGCTTACGATCTTCAACTTTCTTTGAAATACCAAAATCTGATATTTTGACACCACCCTTATTATCAACTACGTAAATAAAAGAAAAATATGAATAAAATCATGTGAAAAATTATTAATCGAGAACGAAAGGGGGGATAATGACTTACCTAGAATGTTAGCACCCTTGATATCACGATGAATGATATCTTTTTCGTGAAGATAATTTAATCCTTGTAAGATTTGTCTGTTGAATGATCTAATTAGGGGCTCTTCTGATGGTCCATAAGTGTTAAGCATTGTAGCTACTGATCCACCAGGAACATATTCCAAGAAAATATTTAAAGTTGTCTCATCATGTTGTGATCCTGTAATCAAAAAATAAAATTAGTAAGTAATCTTCTTATTAAGCAAATACTTCATGAAAAGAGGAGGAATTTCTTACCGAGATATTGCACAATGTTCTCATGTTGTAGCTCTTGTAATAGTGAAATTTCTCTTTGTAAGGCATCTAACTAGAATAATAAAGAAGTTAACATATTAATTCTTTTAAAGTTGGATCTTATGAAATTTTTTTTTGAATATATACCATAGATTTCTTTCTTTCTTCGTTTGCGGATTGTCCAGTGGGCAATTCTACTTGTTTAACCGCCATCAATTCTCCAGTAATGGAATTAAGTGCCAAGTATACACTACCAAAAGATCCCATCCCAATCAAAGTTCCTTTTATCCATTTAAATATGGATTTTGTAAAGGCTGTTAAAATAAATTACACGAGTGAACAATTAGTATATTAAAATCAAAAGCGATTTAATAAATTTGCATATATCGTGATAAATCACCTTCGTCAAGTGAAGTAAGTTCATCATAATTATCTTCAAAACTATCAAAATCTTCAAAGTCACCTCCAACTTCTTCTTCTTCATTAATAGTCGCATTTTCAAGATTATCATTTAAAGGGTTTAATAAACTTGATTGTCTAGAATTATCCTCAAAAAGCCTTGAAATCCGTTTTGATCTAGGTCTAGAAGAATATTTTGATGACATTGAACTTCTAGAAGCTCTTCTCATAGAAAATCTAACACTACGTTCTAGCTCTTCACTATTATGACCGGGAAAATACTCAGTAAGGTTCAATGAAATTAACTCTGATGGAGGCCTTTGCCCAAAGAAATTTCTTAGTTTCTTTTGCGTTATTCCTTGTGGTATACTCGGAGGTTTTTCTCCAAAGAAATTTGCCAATTTCTTATCTCTCATATGTTTCTTAAACGTTTCATGATTCATTGGAAGATGTTTCTTTCTTAAAAATAATCTCTCTCTTTCCTGACGATCTGCACTTTTGCATATATTTTCAACCTCCTCATCTGTTAAGCACCTTGCTAAAAAATAAAAAAAAGTGCTTTAATATATAGATTTACATAGTAATTCGAAAAAAAGAGTTAGATTAATCTAACTTACCTGATCCTGAATCACTCAAAGTTGTGAATAATGAATATCTTTCAACATCATCTTTAATATTGAATTTTTGTAAAACTCTTGCGAGAATGGACTTGGCATCACTAACATCATTTATCGGAATTGTTCGTGAAGATTGACCATCCTCTCCAATAACTTTAATGCATCGCTAAATAATTTAAAAAAGTGAAGTATAAATACATGATTTTCTAAAAGCAAGAATGATAATTTTTTTTTTTGGTTCAAGACTTACCTGTTTAACGCTTTCTAGAGACATGATTGTAGTCTCTTGAGATAGCTGTGGATTTTTATTAAAATAATTTTAATATAAATATAAATATATATATATATATATATCTCATTTATTTACTCACTTTGTTAGATGAAGGTGATTTTGGTGAATTAATACGATGACTTGAACTTGAACGAGTTATTCTAGGCAACGAATCAGATCTAACAAGTGCTGTAGGGAATTTATCGGTCTCTGGTGTACTGGATTCCTAAAAAAAAAAAAAAAAAAAAAAAAAAATTGGATCTTTCTTTCTCTCTCTTATTTTTCCTTTTTTTTTTATTAAAAAATTAAAGATAAGAATAAAAAAAATCAACCTTGCATCTGCATAAAAATTTAGTTGGGGTATAAGGAGTTGGGGTATAAGGATAAATATTATTTCCCCAACAAATTTTTAATAATGATTTAACGGCTAATAAAATTCTAACGCGGTCGCCAACCGATCTTATTTTCAATTCTTTAAGGATATCGTGATCCAATTCGAGTAAAACTTCTCCAGTGATATCATTGTCTGTTGGTCAAAAAAAAAAGAGAGATTTATATATTTTTTTGAAGATAGCAACGTTCTTCTTCTTTTTTTTTGTTTTCAAGCGAATTAAAATTTTTTAAAGGATAATGAGTGACCCATAGTTTACCAGTAAATATTTTTTGATATTCCCTAAAATTATTTTCTTGTAACCAATAAGAAACTTGTTCTAATTTCCATTGACGAACATTTTCAAAAGTAATGCGACTTTCTCTTTCTACACCAGGTGACGAAGGAGCACTTGCCATTGGAGAAATACAAATTTGAGTCATTTTATTCTTGATAATTTTTTTTAAAATATGAATTATATGTTCAATGAAAACTTTATGATGAATTTATAATGAAAAAAAAGGAGAGAAAAAGGTTAGATTTCTTTTTTTATTGTTTCGATAAATTGAAACAAACACTTTATTACTCCTTATAGAAAACATAATATAATTATAGTGTAACTCAATGTATTTATCCGTTTTAGGCCGTTTTAGGAGTTCCGATCCTTTTGTTTTTTCAAACACAAGGAACCCAGGATTACGGAAATAAAGAAAGAACTATCTAATTAAAGTTTTATTTATGATCAACAAATTGGTTTATTGTTTAATGGTCAAAGAAGGATGTCAAAAAAAGCAAAACAAATCTGCAATCTACATTAACTTTGAAAAATAAAAAAAAAACACCACTTTAACCCGAATAATGTTAAAAAAAAAAAAGAAAGAAAGAAATTAATGCGAGAAAAAAGAAGAAAAGCGAAAATTTGTTTGTTCGTTTTACAAATAATTAAGATTGATTTATTTATTATCTGTATTATTTATATTCAAACGAAAATAAATTATTTGGAAAAAAAAAAAAAATTCAAATCATTTTTTGTTCACTTTCATTTTCCTCTTCATCCTTTTCATTTTCATTTTCATATGGAACCTTTATTTTAGAATTCTTCAAGCTTATTTTCCCTTTCATCCTCTTCATCTAGAGTTGTATTTATAGTAACATTCACACTCTTTTCCCCATTATCTCGTTTCTTTTTTTCGTCCTTTTTAGATTTATGGATTAAAGCAACTTCAGGTATTGTAATATCTTTTGCCAAATGAGAATTTTCTTCCATTGATACGGAAGATGTAAAAGAAATTGGTCTCGAAGTTTTTCTACTCGATACGGGAGAACTTGGTGGGGAAGGTGTTAACGCTCTGCTCCTTTTTTGATGTAAAGGTTCTGAGAATGTTACAGAAGATCTTTTTCCCATATATGGAGTCGAAGGTGTCGAACTATTTACTATGCTTTGTCTATTTGTAGAAGAATCAACATTTGAAGAATTTGTAGATTTCCAATTCATTATTGAAAATTTAGATTCTTCATTTAATGATATCGTTGAGGATCGGGTTCCGGCACCCAATATGGAACGACGTTTTTCTTTAAATGAAGTACGAAGGGTTGAAAATCTACTTGATTCAGACTCAATATATGATGTAGTTAAATCCATACTTCTTGAGGTTACCTTTCTAGTTATCACATCATAAGCTTCAACCATAATGGATTTCTTAGCCGCAAAGATTATAAAGATTAAGATTCCTGCTGATCTATTAAACAATAGTAACGAAAATGTATATATATAAGGTACGACATGATTTTCTATCAATTTAGCACAAATAGTTTGGTCTCCATGGGTACTCAAACATTGAAGCCATGTTGGTAGCCACGAATCTATTATGGAATCCGGCTTAACTTCAATAATATAATAATGCCAATTTATGACATATATAACCAACATTAATGAAGCACCTAATAATGCACGCCATTGCATTAAGAAGATCGTTTTAACATAAGTAACCTTTCGTTGTGCTTCGATAAAAGAGGCTCGTATTGATAAATCCCTCGCGGGTAAATAACGACGATTCGAATCGATTGTAATCTGATAAAAAAATAAAAATTGCCGGATATCAGGATTAGGTTTCTTTTAAAGACGAGGTGATCATATTTTACTTACGTGAGCCATATAGATAAAGGTTGAGAAGTGCGCGATAAATGCGATATAAATAAAAGATAAAAAGTAAAAATATGTGGTGGACGCATCCGGGGAAATAAAACATATATTATTTGATTGAATCGACTTTTTGGCGAAAGGAATTATAATCGCTAACATCGTAGCCATTAATATAAAACCATGGAAGTAAACTATTTTCTTGGCTATGAATTCTATGCGCCATACTGACATCTTTTTTGTTTTTTAAAAATAATAATTATTATTTATATATAAATAACCGATTTAGATAGAAGAGAAAAAAAATTAAAAGTTCTCACCAAATGTAGATGAGTCATCAAAAGAGCGGACCAACATGATATCGCATACCCTCCTCCCAGTGTGAAAAATGCTGAGATAATACACATATATTATAAATTAATTGAAGGATTTATAAAAAGAATACCCGGTAAACGAGAGATAATGTCGTTAAAGTACCTTGAATGGCGCATAATACATTGTTCCCTTGTGTCGCCGGAGTAATATGATTGACGCACTAAAAGACATAGAAATTGAGCTGTTTTATTCCTATTTTTAATTTATTTTTAATATGATGATAAAATCATTCACCTGAGATTTTTGTTGAAATATAGTGATAAATTCAGAACCTTCGAAATACATCACACTTATGGCAAGGGGCAACAACATTTGCCTCGCTAAAGGGTTTTGTTTTTGACTCGGAAGTGTGATAAAAAAAATAGCAAGTACAATCATTAAGAAGAAAGAAATTATTCCTACAATCGCAAAACTTTTAAATGTCTTATTAATTTTGTTCTCTTCATAAAAATTATTAACAAATGGACAAGCAACACAACAATCATCAAAACAAATTTGTGAATCATCTTTATCAACGTCCCTAATTATGAGAGGGGATGGACAATTCTCTTTTGATATATCATGGTTAATATCAAGATCCTGCGTAAATGCTGAATGTATTAACATAGAAATTATTAGGAACCATGACATGATTCCTTTAATTTGACCAAAGTGTGTTTGCGATGTAAGAAATTTCATAATTAATGAAAAAATATATATGTACATAAGCTAGATTTAAAATACGAAAAAGAAATTAAGTTTAGAAATTAAAAAAAAAAAAAAAAAAAAAAAAAAAATAAATGTCCACTTTACAAAAAAGAATTTCTTTTAATTTAAATAGATTATAGCAAATGTAAATCATTCTTTTTAATAATAAATCGCAAACGGTAAAGTTTCATTAGTGATTTACAATATAATTCTCAAAAAGTTAAATTAATAATGCACGCGCTTTATGAAATCAAAAAGGAAATTAATGCGATTAATATATTAAATATATTAAGAGACTTGAATTTGGTGTAGCAATTGTTAAAGTTTGATGTATTTCTTGATTCTTATCCCTAAATCTCAAATATCACGACGATAATCCTTTCTTTCATTAACATGTGTACTTTACTTTCAGTCTTCCGATTTTTCTTCTCCATTTTATTTTGCCAACTTAAAGACAAACATATAATCTTGATTAGATTAAAATGCTCTTTATATAAATTTACTTGATAAATGTTTTTCCATCGTGTAAAAAAAAAGTAAGATGCATATGAATAATTTGATAATGTTACACGAATTTGTATAATTGATTGTATCCGGATAAATTATTTCCCGCTTAAAAGTTCAAACGAACATTTTTCAATGAGAGATAATTCATTAGTAGTTGTTTGTGTGAAATGTATTAATAAAACATTGAAACATGTAAAAGCAGCTTTTATTTTTATGAGAGAAACTCAAAAATAACGTAAAGAGATGAGCAGGCGTAGGAACATGAGGATTGAAGTATGACTTGCATATGTTCACAATTTGGACGGTTATTTTCTAAATAGAGTTGATATTTTAATATAACAAATGAACAAATAATTCTTTATCAGATGTTTAACCAACATCCGCGCCATAATAGTTCAAGATCATCTAAATCTTCTCATATGATTCTATATGCAAGAGAGATCCGTTTTGCTGAAAATTGAAAAACCCCACATTTTATTATTGCAATACATGATTTTTTATTTTAAATTCACTGTAAATCAAACTTGATTGGTCTATTTACATAACTTGAGGTTCTATACTTTCACCGCTTACGACAAAAACGATTAATATCAAAATTATTTATCAACGTGAGCACATTAACGATATTTTCGATGTTGAATTTAAAATTATATATATTGTGATTCATTATATTTATATTAGATAAATTTATCTTTCATTTTATTTATCATTCTCTTTCTCGTCGTTTATTATTAGATCATTCAAAAAATATTGAAAGAACATATTGAAAGAACCACTTTTTAAGAAACCACGAACAAAGGATATGACACAAAATTTTCATTTTGAGGCGAATAAAAAAACCTACTGAAAAGAAACTTATCAATATGAGTATCATGCTCCTCAATTACTATAAAATATTCTTGCTAGAAAACTGTATTTCAAGCTATGGCAAATTTTACATTTTTGATTATTTTTGATTAAATTTTTTTTTTGAATATAGATGAAAGTACCATCATTAATACAACAACAAAAATAATTATATAGTTTATTTCAAAAACCAATTAGTCTACATCATACGATAATTATATTTAATATATTTAAACGCGTCAAAGATTCAAATTTACAATACACGTTAAAATTTAATTTCGAAATAGTAAAAAAATTAATTTTTTTAAGCTGATTTCATCTTAAAAGCCTCCACGCAATCTTCCTACAAGATAAATATTCATCCCATTTTTGACACCATAATCTGACAAGAGTTTATGATTTTCTAACTGATGATTATCAATTATCAATATCTGTTCTTCTACTGGAAGAAATCTCTTTTCAAAATATTTTTGTTTCAATTCGAGTACGGTATCGGATTTTTTGAGAAGAATAGTCGTAGATTTTCCAGCTTGTGCTGTTAAAGCACCAACAATGGACACTTGCATAAAACCTTCAGCTTTTCGTACAATCCTAACTTTTTCGTCTGTAAAAATTTTGTAATAATTCGCTGTACGATTATCGTCAAGCTTCTTTTCTCCAAGAAATAATTCTTGGTTCTCAGCGTTAATATTGAATTTTGATTCGATTTTTTGTTTTAATTGTTGAATGGTGTCATCAGAACAAATTTCAAGTTGCAATGTAATACCATCAAGTAAAGGTGTAATCATGAATTTTACCATTTTTCTTTTATTATGTAAATTAAAAAAAGGAATTTTTTTTTTTTTTTAGCAAAAAGTTCAATCAAAAGAAAAAATTTCCCTTCCCATCATTTTATCATGATTGGGAAAAATCGTTCGTTACTTCTTTGAGCTACATAATGAAGTCATAAAGCTTCTTATTCCGAAATCGGACTAAACCCAAAATGTATTAAATTTTTTCTTTTTACATCTATATCCTCCTAATTTCATCGCGGTCGACTTGCATTCTGCTCAGTTAGCAGTTTTCAAGAAATAAAAGTATAGAATAACTGATTATTAATCGAAAAAAAATTAATGAATTCACTTAGAATATGAGATTTCTTGCTCTCAAAAAGATTTGTTTTTTTTTCGTTTTTTTATTTTATTTATAATTATGACGTCTTTTGTTTTTGTTTCTCAATTTGGAATTCCTTGGATAATAATTACATCAACCTTTTTGTTTTTCTTTTTTATCAGATAGCATTTTATCACCATGTTTTCCCTCGTTGATTTGATATTTTAAATATGTCTAACCTGTATGATTGTACCTTTTGTTTTGAAGATGAAGGTAGAGATTTTCGTAAAATAACTTCAAAATGTGTTCATAGAGCCGTAGTCTGTACAGAATGTGTTCGTAAACACATTGAAACATACATTGAAAAGCAACTTGTTGAAGTTCCTTGTCCAACAAACGGATGTACAAAAATAATGGAAAGACATGATATCAAAAATTTCACAACAGATAAAAACTTTGAAATGTATAATACCTATTTTTTTTTTCCTTTTCTTTTTTTTTTAAAAAAAAAATCAAGGATACCTAACAAATTATTCGTAAATGTTTATAGATATGATTCGCTTGCTTTCAAACTTGCGATTCATAAAATTCCAGATTTTAGATGGTGCAAAGCCCTTTGTGGAACCGGACAAATTCATCTTGGAAAAGGTAATATTAAAAGGGATAATATCATAGCATTATTTATGTATTTCGAAATTTACTTAATCTTCTTTTAACATTTTTTTTTTTTTTTTATAGATGAAACACCGATTGTTATCTGTCAAACGTGTAACGCAAAATCATGTTATACTCACAAAGTTAGCTGGCACGAGGGTCAGACTTGCGAACAATATGAAGAGAATAAGAAACAAACCGACTTTGCTACCAAAGATTATCTTTCACGAATATCAAAACCATGTCCAAATTGTTCGATGTATATCGATAAGAATGGAGGTTGTAATCACATGACCTGTAAATGTTCATATGAGTTTTGTTGGTTGTAAGTATGAACTATCTTCTTTTTTCTTTTTTTTTTGATAAAAATTAATGAGATATTTATTTATTAGATGTATGCATAAACATCCGGGCCATAAATCTACTTGTGATTTAATGAATGAAGGTACACATAGGATTGGATTTTTTTAATTAGTCAAATGATTAAGTCATTACTAAACAATAGTTTAAGAATCTCGGATTATTTTATTACCAGTTTGATATCTAGTTAAAAGGAAGAGCAAAATCATATATATATTGATGAGGATTAGATATATTTAAGAACCGATTATTCTATTTTTTATTTAATGACTTTTATGATTAGAATTTCATAATCATGTATAAACCTATATCAAAACGTATAAATATATACATTTTATCAAATTCAAAATAAGTTTAGACAAGCAACTTTAGTTTATATTAAATAAGCTTTAAATTTTGAAAATCATGATGATTTTATTTTGCCTTAAAAATTACATTATATTAAACATATCTTAATAAAAATTATTTGTTTCAGTTGGATCCAGTGTTTCACCAAGTTTTATTAGGAGGAATTAGTACGTTGCTTTGTAACTTTTAAAGACCATAAACTTACTAAAACTTTGGATATTTCTTAATAAAAAGTCTAATAATGTTAATAATAATTTGCTGTAATTAAACAATTATTTTAATTTATTTTATCATTTTATTGAAATGTTTATCATTTGTATTATTATTATTTTAAAGAAATCTGAAGGACAAACGAACCGCCAAGAAAGAAAAATGAAGAAAAGGAAAAAATAAAATTTAGATAGAAATCCACGGGGTTTACCATGCATCGTTAACCTTGGGATATAATTTTGCTTGGGTTGAGATTAGGACTCGTTGTATAACATGTACTAGTAGTATATTAGTAGTGAAAAAGTACTTTCAGTTCGGTTCTTGATTTTATGAGCTTTACATCCCTTTAAGGAATAATTTGTTCGATGCAATAAATTTTGTCACCTTTAACACAATTTTTTTCTTTTTTGCGTTTAATGAATGATAAGGATATTTAATAAAGTTACGGCGATCGTTCGAAATAAATTGCAGAAATAAAATTATTCAAAAAAAAGAATTTTTTTAGGTTTGTCTATTAAGCAACACAAAACAACTTCCCAATGATCTCTCAATTGATGAAAAGGGGAGATTTCAGAAAACAATAACCATTTATTGTTGATTATACTCGAGTGGAAGAACCAATTCGGATGAGTAATTCCAACAATCCATAAATTAGGCAACGGATATGAATTATAATTGATTTTGCCGTGTATACGTCGGTGTTTGAAACATGTAAGTGCCCGAAAATTCAAGCAGTATTAATAAATCTTTCCATTGTAGAGTATTAATTTGTAGAAAACCTATTATTATTTTACGTAATATAATAATAACTTGCTATATCTGAATTCATTAATAAATAATAAATTAATTTCCTTTATTTTTAAATTTTTTTTTTTGTTATTTTACTTAATGATTAAAACTATATATATACTCTCACTGCTAGAATCTATTAAATGAAAAATATGTCCAATAATACAAACAAAGCTTAAATATTACATACCTGCCTTATTTAAAAATACATATTCTCAATTTATAATACTTTTTAAATAATAAGTTTAAACTCTTTTAAATAATAAATTATATATATCTATATATTTGGTTACTAAAAGGGAAAAATAAAAGGTAATTTTATTCTTTTTTTTATTATTATTATTATACGCGAACTCCTCGTCCGGGTGATGATGTGGCTCTTCGTTGTTTTCGACTTTTATCAAAATAATATTTTAGAAGGTTTTGTTGAGCCGCGTTTAAACTACCAAGATACTGGAATAAAGTATTGTCATCCCCTATTACTGAATAAATTGCAACTAGTGCATCGACTACTGATTTTCGAATTTCAGGTTTCGAATCACTAAATCCCTAAATGAAAAAAAAAAAAATTTAATATTTGGACAATAAACAAATAAAATATAATAATCTAACAGGATAACCCTACCTTAATAGCTAATGGCACAACACGTCCGACTTGTCTTTCTAATGACCTTTTGTCGAACCTTTTAACCAATTTTGATAAAACTACAAATGCAGACCCTTTCATGCTTGTCTTTGAACCGAATTGTGGAGAGTTACTTTCAGGTAATGATGTGTTTCCAAATGTGTTAAATAAACTTGATTCCATTATATCAATTAATGCATATAATCCGAAGTTAGCATCTACTATTTGAATATAATTATCCAAAGCATCATCTGCATGTCCACATATCTACAAAGGGAGAGTAGACATATATAAGTACTATATTGACTTGTAAAATATTGATAATTATTAATTTGGTAACTCACATTTGACGCTGAATCAGCCCGACATTCTAATAAAATACGTAATATGTCTCTTTCCTGACCCCTGGTGTAATCAGGTTGGTTATTAATCAATTGTCCAAGTAACAATACTGCTCCTTCTCTCAATTCATTATTTTGCTTAAATCATTAAATTAAATTAGTAACAAATTAATTATACAAAAACAAACATTAGTAATGACAAATACCTGTTCTGAATCACTCAAAAATCCTATTAATGCATTCATTAGTTCAATAAATCGATCGCCATTTTCCCATATATCTTCTGCCAATTCCCTATTTGAGAATTGTGTTTCTTTAGATATTCTGATAAGTTTACGAAATAGGTGGACGTCTGTATCATAACCATGCAAACGTGCCAACAATGTCGCAAGCAGTATACGTCTCTCTTGAGCAGCACCAGGAAGAGGTGAACCAGAATTAAATCCTGTAATAATAATAGTAATAAATTTTATATAAAATAAAATCCGTTGATACCAATTTTTTTTATGAGAAAAAAAAGAAATTTAAACAGACGTTCAGCTCTTCTTAAAGCTCTATCCCGTGCACCAGATATTGAATTACCACTACCCACTGAGGAAACTGGTGATGCAGGTAATGGTAATTCGGATGCGGAGACATTACTTATAGGCATATTGGTAGGAGATGGTTCTTCTGGAATAGTTTCGGTATTTATCGATGAAAGAACTTTTTTATCAGTTATAGATGTTTCTTCTATTATCTCTGAATCTGTATTTGGTAATTCCGGCTTTGGAGAATTTCCAGTAACCGTTTCTGAAACAGTTGACTGTAATACTCGATCATTATCCGTTACCTGAAACGACACATCATCAAGTGATTTGGATTTCTCTTCAACATGTGTCAGTTCAGGCAGTTCTGCCAATTCGTCTTCTTGAATTGGTGCTAATTTTGCATCTGCACCATTATTATCGTTTTTGAACCGTTCTTCAGGATTCAGATAGAAAGGATTATTCATTTTGCCATTCATTGTATTCTCTAATTGAGTCCATACGTCTTCAGAAATATAAATACTATCTGGTCGACTTATTGTCATGTCAGTAAAATTTTCCGGGACATTTTCCTATGGTACAACATTTAATTAATAACAAGATTAACTCAAATTTATTAACAAAATTAAAAGTAAAATATGCTTTACATCATTTATGTCTTCTTCCTCCTCCATATCCAATTTTTCTACAAGTTGTTTCAAATTTGCAAGCTCAAGATCTTTATCATCAAATTCTGGATATCCTAAATCATGTGGAGGTGGCGGTAACGATACTACACGATCTACTGGCTTACTATTATGATCCCTTGTCTTGATATTCGATTTCTCTGGCTGATTTAAGTCAAATTCGCTTATAATATCTTCATCTTCATGAGCTTCACTGGGTCTATCTGTGCTCTCATTCCAATCACTATCTCTTGACATATTTCTACCCTTATCACTCCATTCAGGACCCCTTACGGGTGCCTTGTTATTTGAAGATCCATTATCACGATAAGGATTTCTTTCATCCCAATCATTTTTACGTGGATCCCTCGGTGATGCCTTTAAACTTTTTTCATCCGAGTCATTATCTCTGGGAAATCTAGGCGATGGCCTAGTATTTTTACCTTCCAAGCTCTCCCTTGATTCTCTTGGTCGAAGCCTATTCATTCTATCATCCCATTCTTGGTCTCTCTTATCCCTTGAAGAATGTTGACTTAACTTTTCATCTAAATCACCATCTCTCAAGTCTCTAGGTACAGATCGAGTACTTCTTTCTTCCCAATCATTATCTCTCTCTTTTCCTGAAGATCGACTACTAACATCATCCCATTCATTATCTCTTATATCCCGTTCTTTGAGGATAGGTCGTCCATTTTTATCGTCCCAATCAGGTGATTTTGAGCTTTTAAATGAACGTTTTCCACCTAATCTTTCATCAAAATCATTCTGATTAGAACCTCTAGGGAAAGGACGTCTATCTCTTCCATCCAGTTCATCTTCACGAGAATCTCTTAAGAATCGTTGATTCCTGCCATTTACCTCATGTTCTCTTGATTCTCTGGGAACTCGTCTATCTCTTTCATCATATTCATATTCTCTAGTCATACGCCTATCCTTTTCATTCCAACTATTTTCCTTATAGGGAGTTTTGTCTTTGATCATTCGGCTTCTTTCGTCATTTAGTGGTCGTCTACCCCTCTCATCCAATTCAAATTCTCTGCGCCTATCATCATACCTATCATCCCTTTCATACATATCAGTGTCTCTGGACTTGATTCTTTCCCTTTCATCCCAATTACCATTTTCTCTATACATTCGTCTTTCATATTCATTCTCTCTTGTTGGGGTTTTTGCTCTTCTCGCTCTATCTATATCTCTTGGACGTGGATCAAGCCAATGAGGTTCGGCTGTTTTTGGTCGATTTTTTCGTGCCCATTCTTGTTCCCTTAAAATATCCTTTTCTTTAGGGTTTCTTAAATCATCTCCTCTTTGAGATAAATGTGGAACCCTTTGATTTTCTACCCAATCGTTAATATTATCTTTGATAATATTTTTTTGAGAAAGTGGTGAATTTTGAGACGAAAATTTATTTGACGATTGAAGTTGCAACGGAGGAGGTCTGCGAGCGTATAAATGTGACTGCATTTCTCGTTCGTATTCACGCTCATGTAATTCATATTCATGTTGCTGATGTAATTCAAATTCGCGCTGTCGTTGTAATTCAGCTTCGCGTTGCTGTTGTATTTCGAGTTCACGCTGTTGAAGCTCAAATTCGCGCTCTTGTTGAATTTCAATTTCTCGCTGTTGTTGAATTTCAAATTCGCGTTGTTTTTGAAGTTCTAATTCACGTTGATGCTGCAGTTCAAGTTCACGTTGTTGCTGTAACTCGAATTCACGTTGTTGCTGTAGCTCAAATTCACGTTGTTGCTGTAGCTCAAATTCGCGTTGTTGCTGTTGAAATTCAAGTTCTCTTTGTTTTTGTAATTCTCGCTCCTTTTGTTTTTGTAATTCTCGTTCTTGTTGCTTCTGCTCTCTTTGCTGCTGTAACTCACGCAACCGTTGTTGCTGTAATTCATGCTCACGTTGTTGCTGTTCTTCATGTTCTTTTTGCAACTGTAGTTCACGCTCACGTTGTTCCTGTGCTTCACGTTCACGTCGTAGTTGTGCTTCACGTTCACGTTGTTTTTTTAATTCTCTCTCACGTTGTTGTTTTTCTAATTGCTCTTGTTGTTGTTGCTGCAATAATGCCAACTGATTCTTTTGATCTGCAATAAATTGCTCTTCATACAACCTCCTTTCTAGCTGCTGTTGTTCCCATTCCCGTTCTTGTTCTTCCTTTAATTTTGCCTGCTCTTCGGCTAAAACTTCTTCCTCGGCTTCCTCCAGTTCTTCTTCCCAACCAACCATATTACCTACTAAATCTACTACTTTACCTTCGAAAGAAAATAAGATGGTTTCAAATGCATCGGGATCTAGTTTATGCAGATTTATCAACAATCTACTGAGAGGCTCGTAATTTTCTGATGTTTCCTTAGTATTATTGACTAGTGGAATCAGTCGTTTGGTAAGGAGGCTGTATTTATCTACATCTCCTAAAAAACCAGTAAGTTCTTGATCATTTTCAACTAGTTCTAATTTGGGTTCAATTATTTCATTAAACCATACTAAAAGTCCATTTAAAATTTTACGTTTTTGTGGTAGTGTATATACAAATCCTGAGGATGACTTTTTCTGTGTTGTTCCAGAATTGTTTAATAATAATAAACATTTATTTAAACCCAAAAGAGCATGTTCAGTTCCGATAGCATTCTTCACTCCAGGAAAAAGATTTTGAATTATAATTGATTGTTCCGACTTATCATCATCATTAGCAAATAATATAAGTCTTGGTATTAGGTTTTCGAGACGAATCACCCTTGCCATTTCGGTAATAACGTTAGGTGCCAAAAAGTTTTCAATAACCTTAGGATTTTGATCATTCAACATATTAAGTAATATTGGACCCAATTCTTCATCTGGAGGAAGTGGCGTTTTTTTGAAATCATATCCTGGTTTGTTTGCTGAAGGTGGCTCTAATGACCTTTTTACTACAAATTGAGCCACATTGAAAAGTCCTTCAACTCGAGTAGTCCAGTCACTATGTTCTAATTGTTCAACAATTGTCAGTTTTCTAGGCTGTATCTGTGTTGCATTAGGTGAACCATTTTTGTTTGGTGATGGCTTCATGGGTGATTTTGATGTTGTGGATTTACTTCTCATGGAGGGTGGTGCGGGCGATTTCGAACGTAAAGTAGATGGATTACTTACTGGCGATTTGATATGCGACTTCGGAGAATCGACCGACATTGAATAATTATCACTTGCACCACTATCAGAACGTGGAATACTAGATCGTCTTGATTTACCAATACTCGAAGATCTAGCTCGATTTTTTGGAGCAGGTGTAATTGATCGTCTTGGTGGTGATGATGTTGTTGAGGTTGATGATAATGGTGTTAATGAAATATTTCTTGGTCGATCGCGTTCTAACTTTTTTTTTACCGCAGGTTCCAAATTTTTCAAAATCCTATACGTATTTTAGCCAGATTAAACTTTTAATTTAAACTATAATGAAAATACGTTGTAACAAAATGACATACTTTTCTCCTCTTTCTGGCCAGACTTCAAAAAATGTCCAAAATACTTCGCGACATCCTTCTCTCACTTTAGGTGCAGCATCAGTTAAGCCCTTTCGGACACATTTTTCTAGTGATTCAACACCACCAGTTCGTTCCATTGTGTCCCTTCGATCAGCATGTGTTTGAATAACTATTTTCACAAACCCGATAGTAGAAGTTCGTAATTGAATATTCTTTTCTTCCATTGCATGCCAAAGTTGGGTAACAAGCCTAGTATGGTATGAACAATATTGGAATAAAGCATTTGTGGAGTTTGTAGCAGCTTGTGCTACTATTTTTTTTGTTGATTGAACCATTTTTAATAAATTTGCAAGCAAATTATCTGCGAAAGGGTCCATTGTTGTTCCAAGGTGTGAAACTAAATCTTTAATTAATCCACTTGCAGCTAAAGTAAGCGTTGTACGTAAACTTGTGAGCTAACGATTCCAAAAATTGAAATTTAAGGAAAAAATAATATTGAGTTTTATTTTACTTAATACAAATAATAAACGATGATAAATAATTAACCACTTAACGTACTGATGTAAGAATACCACCCATAATTAATTTCAAACCATTCATGAATGCATCTGGATATTGTGATGCTGCATCTCCTCTTGTTAAAGATCTCAATTTATTAATATTTTTCTCACGAATTAACCAATTTTGTTCAGATTCTTTTCCTGAGAATGGTGTCAATAAATTTTGAAATTCTTTTTCCAATTCTTTTGCACTTTCGATCTAAATAAGAATGATAAATATTGATTTGATATAATTATTGAAACGCGATCTTTTTACTTACACGTATTACTCCAATATCATCTGCTGAACTAGAAGGCCTAATAGCTTCTACTTGTCTTGATGTTTCTTCATTCTGGGTACCAACGTTCATATAATCTTCCTCTATAGGCTCTGTCATATTATCTGGAAGATTATCTATGTCATTCGCCTCACCATAATTAGAGCCCATTTTTGATAAAATATATTCTGTTATTGCAGCACGCACAGAATGCTTCTCGAGTTCACGTTTAAGATCTAACTTAGCGTGTGCTGCTGCGCCACTATAAATTGGAAATTGCATTAGATCTATCAAACTTAATGAAGCATATTGACAAACAAATTATCACACCTGAAAAGTAAAACTATTCTATCTTTTGCAGTTTCTCTCACTTGCTCATGAGGATCTTCCAATAATTTTACCATATATGGTAACCATTGTTTTATGGAAAAATCCGAAACTCTTCTAGTACAATTTACTATCCATTGTAAAATCTGGCAGTAATGCAAATATGTAAGAAATAATTTATTAAAATATCCAAAAAATATTATGACTTGATAAAAATTTCACCTGTTCGCGAGCTCTCCACTGTTTATGCCCAAAGGCCGTTTCTTTGATTATGGTCGCTAATGGTGTCGTGATTACACTACCACTACTGGCCGCTGAAATCCACATTGTCAATAAAACATTTAATGCTGCATCTCTTGCTTTGTCTCTAGTATCACCTAACTTATCTATAACAGCCGCTGCAAAAGTTATAACAACATTCTTAAAAAATGTTGGATGTGTTTCAGCTATTAAAGATATAAAAGGGTTCAGACAAATAAGCGCTACATATGAAACTTGTTGTTGAGAGCCTTTAAGAGCATCTCTTAAGGCAGGTACAAGTTGAGCAATTTCTTGTGGCTAGATAAAAATAAAAATAAAAAATATAATATAATATAAGAAATTTCCATCAAATTTTTTAATATAAATAGTATAAAAAATATCGATTTGGATAAAATTGAAGTACTTCCTTTTTGACAACTGATTTGATATTTAAAACAAAACCTAATTAATAAGTTCTACTAACCTCTAAGGGAGTTTCTTCCAATAATTCATCTTCTAATTTCGTTATTGCTTCAATTTTTTTTTCTGTGTCTTTTATATATAATTATTTTTTTTTTTAGAGAATAATACAATATTCGAAGGAGAAATTTTGCTTTAGTGTAAAAGTTTTTATTTCAAATGTGCTTAATTTTAAAAAATAACAAAAATAACAAAAAATTGAGAAACATACTATTCCCCTGTAAGGCGAGAAGCACGTTTTCGACAAAATCAACCTCTGTCATTGATGCTTATATAAATATTCTTATTTTATAAGAAAAATAAATTTCAGGATCCCATTCATATGTTGTGAAGATTCCCAATAAAAATTTTCACAATATTTGAGTTTACTTTTTGTAAGGGAAGTCAGATCAGGTGACAGTAGCACTTTTATTGAATTAATTGTTTATTAGTACGAATATATATTTAAAGTTACGGGTCTAAAATAACACCTAATATTCTTTTAGTAATGAATTGGAGAGCAATTGACAGGTGAAAACAGGCATATAAAGCCTTTTAAATGTAAATTTCAAGGAAACAATGTGATCAAAAAAATTAGGTGCATTTGCCTGCAGGTTTTTTTTTTTTGCTACATCAAAAGACACAGTTTTGTGTTCAGTGATAACGCGACATTCGGGAATTATTATCACGAAACATGTTTCACGGATGAGATTGATTGGTTATTCCAATCCTTTTGCTAATAAAATTATCCCAAAATTTTCATTTTCATGTGATATTCGGCCGGCATTATGACATAAATAATCGTATAATCGTGTGAATTTGAAAAATAAGATGGTCACATTGTTCTGTGATAATATTTACTACTTTTGTACGATAATAAAAATTATTTCATTAAATAAATAAATATATAATATAGTTTCTTTAATAAAAGATTATTAAACTTCTCTCAATAAATTTTGAAGGAGGCGGGTACTATATTTTGGGATATACTATGTGAAGAACCTCTTTATACTGTTAATTTTTAATTATTTATTTAATTAGTAATATTTTAATTTTTCTGTTGAATAATACCCGGCAGCTTTGGTGGCGGTAACTTTGAACAACATAATTGGTGATGGTGATGGTGTCAGCAACATTGGTGATGGTAATGGTATCAGCAACATTAGTGGTGGTGGTGTTAGCAATAACATTTATGGTAGTGGTGATATCAGCAACAACATTGGTATATTACTTTAATATAAAATATAAATTATTAATATATCTTAAATTTTACTTGACGAAATTTAAGCATTTAAATATAATATTATTACCTTAAAGTCCCGAAAATAAGTACCCTCTGATTTCTATATTACCCAAAAATAATCATCTACACAAATTCTGTATAAACTCCAACTCCAACTCCAGCTCTTATAGTTCCAACTCCAACTCCAATTGAAAATATCTTTAAACCAAAACAAAGAT